GAACAACATCACATCTAACTCTACTATAGACATTCTCCGTTCGATATTTGCCAAACTGGATTTACACAAGTTCTTGGTAACGGATGATGGGCCACAACTCTTCTCAAGTGAATTTGAACATGTCTGCAAGAACAATGGAATAATACATATTAAAGTGACTCCTTATCATCCAATATCAAATGGGCGTTCTGTTCGCACCTTCAAAGAGAGCACCTAATATAGATGTAAACCAAAGGTTTAGTTGAAATCCATGATGAGTTTGTTATGTATACATGAATTGATGACAGTTAACCGAACTTGTTTTTTAAAATAAAGAGGATACCTGTCAAAAATAAGCAAAACGTTAACTTTATCCTACTTGCATAAAATTTGGCATATGGATATAAAATTGCCGTAGACACAACTTTTTCAAGTAACTTTTTGTTAAATTCGATCTAGAAATGCACTTTTTCATTGTACATATTAGTAGAAAGAATAATGAATCTGTGACAGTATGTGAATCGATTATGTGCTTTCGCGGGGGACTGCAATTATGGTACCGGTTTAAATGAAATAATTCGCGATCAGCTGATTTTTGGTATAAACAATCTTGAGTGACAAGAGAAAATAATCCAAAAACTCTCATCTACCAAACTACACTGGAAGAGGTAGAGCTACCGCTAGCCTCTTAGAGCAAGTATCTATACAAACAAAACAATTATCGTGTTTTCAACCTTACCTAGAAAATACTGATAGTTTGAATCGCGTAAGAAAATCAGGCAGACAAAGTGCATCGTCCTCTAAACAAACAAATAAAGTGCGTGAACTATTTCCGAGTATTGACTGTCTGTACTGCGGGGATTTGAAACACCCACACAGAAATTGTCCTGCTTCCGGTAAAAAGTGTGGCAGTTGCGATGAAGACAATCATTTTTCGCGAGTTTGTGTGATTTGAGCACATGCTATCATTAGATAATCAAACGTAAATACAAGGGGAAATCAAAACGTTCAACACGCTGTGTTAAACATGAAAGTGACAATGAAAACGATGATTCTTCGGAATATAATAGTGAATGGGAATCCGGGGATACAGAATATAACTCGACCGTTCTAAATATTAGAAACGTAGGAGTGGCTAGTAAAGTGATGTTACCAGTACAAATAAGTTCAAAGAATATTGACATGCTTCATGATCCTGGATTTGTGCATGCGGTAGTAGGCAGGTTAATTTGGAATAAAATTGGCAGTCCCTCACTAAAAAAAAGTAAGTGATTTGATTGCCTACGGCGAAAAGCCAATAAGCACTTTGGGAAAATGTATGGTGAAAGTGATGGCTTTCGACAATAAATTAACATTGTCACTTTATGTAACAAACGATGACGACATACCACTTTTTGACCTGGACTGGTGTTTAGAGGGTCACCAAGCCAAAATATATATAAATATACAAAATGATATCATACCAAGAAAATTTTGCCCGATCAAGTTTCAGCTGCACTTGATCGATTGGTCCATCAGAAAAGTGTTCTGGAACCAATCGATACAACTAACACTGAAGTTATGTGGGCTTCCCCTATTGTTGATGCTTTGAAGTCAAATGGCAGGTTGAGGATTTGTGCCGATTTTAAAGTCACCATAAAGAGATAAATACCCGTTACCTCGTTTTGAGGATATCCCAGCAAAATTATCTGGAGGAAGGCATTTTTCTAAAATCGATGAAGGACGCATATCTTAAAATGGAGGTCCACTCAGACTCCAGTAAATATTTGTTAATCGCTACACACAAGGGCTATTTCACATACCAGCGATTACCATTCGGGATCGGTTTTGCACCCTCACTTTTTCAACGAACCATGGATCAGATACTGGCAGGAATAAAGAGCGCAGTATGCTATCTGGATAACATACTGTTGACAGCTCCAAATCTAACATTACATGCCCAGATATTGAAGGAAGTTCTGCGCCGCTTACAATCTGCAGGAATAAAAACCCAAAAATCAAAATGTGCACTATCACTTATTACGGCAGATTCAGTGAAAAATTTCATGTGAAATACGTACCTTTAGATCGTCTTCTTAAGAAGAGTTTAAAGTGGGAATGGTCGAATACAGACACTGAAATATTCGAAAGTTTAAAGCGAAGCCTGACCTCAAATGATAACCTAGTGCCTAGTGCATTATGACCCTAAAAACCCCTGGTTGTCAACAGTGATGGGTATATCTCCAAACCCTTGGTCTCGTCTTCATCTGGACTTTGCGGGACCTTTTGAAGGTAAAATGTAGATGGTACTGATTGACTTCTATACGCCTTGGTAAGAAGTTACCGATGAACAATATCACATCTACCTCTACTATAAACATTCTCCGTTCGATATTTGCCAAACTGAATTTACACAAGTTCTTGGTAACGGATGATGGGCCACAACTCATCTCAAGTGAATTTGAACATTTCTGCAAGAACAATGGAATAATACATATTAAAGTGACTCCTTATCATCCAAAATCAAATGGGCTAGCTGAGCGTACTGTTCGCACCTTCAAAGAGAGCACCTAATATAGATGTAAACCAAAGGTATCCAAAACGAACCAAGCGACCGGCTTAAACAAAAACATCACCACAAAATACCATGTGAAATTCAACCTGAGGAGGAAGTCTACGTAGAAGAACCCCCAAGTCAGGCACCCCGAAGAAATCCTTCAAGAAACAAAAGTCTTCCTGTTCGTTTCAGGGAATAAGCTTATCATTTGTAGGGGAGGAATGTGGTATCACTGATTGAGTCTGGCAACACTGCTGGGAACAGCCGAGTGACTTTCTTCCGAGAAGTGAACACTTGTTCTGGTTCTAACATCCGAAACTGTTTGGAAACTGAGCAAGACATGATGCGTACAAGCAAAAAATCTCAAACAGTCCAGAATAGTCTCGGACACATGAGGTTTGTTCTGGTTCTAACATCCAAAACTGTTTGGAAACTGCGCAAGACAGGATGCGTACAAACAAAAAATCTCAAACATTCCAGTCTCGGACACTTAGTTAAACTAGAACGCATTTTGAGGAGACACTATGCCATCTATCGTATATATGAAGAGATGAAAACGAGAAAATACTGTTAATCATGTCCATTTGGTTATGTAGCGTATCCTTGTAGTCAGTTCAAATGTTATTTAACCTCTATCATCAATTATTTGAATCAAATGAATAAAAAATCATCCTAGAAAATAGCCCAAACTAATTTCCACATGAATGCGGATGGAAATCTGAGATGTTAATTCACTATTCTTGCCATTCTTGGTGCTGTTCCTACAATGCAATATGCAACAATTCCAACTACCAATGTGTTTAATTGTTTTCAGTTGAAATATTCATTATCATATGATAAAAATACGAATTTAATTTGCATTAGATTTTATACTATATGCGTTTTCTGGCTCTGTGATTCAAATACATTCATTCTGGCATTGAAACGATGACGTCACATCAACTATGATTTGAAACTCAGATAGTGTCCGACCGAAACTGGTTTTCATGACCAAAACCGAAAACGAATTTCGGCAACGGTCTCAGTTTCGACCGAAACCGAAACTTCCTTACAAGAATTATGTTTTGAGGGAAAAATAAAGAAAATGTTATAACAATCAGTCAGTCTTAATTTTTTCATCTTTAAATCACAACGTTATGCAGTCTTCGACATTTGTACTTATTGATAATCAACATAACAAACCCCTATTTAAGAAAAAATATGAATTGCACCTTGAAAATACTTAAAATAGGTGAGGTGTTTGAGTAGGTGTAGATCCTTCTTTTGAATATTATTGATGGTTTTTTCAAAAATATCAAACATAAAATTACTTATTTAAGTGGTTATCCCAAGTGGTACTTAATATTTATGTAGTGAACAAAGTAAATCTCAAAGTCACGAGTCATGACATGATTATCTTTTCACGTATAGTATAACTACTCTTTAAGATTAAGTACTGTGTATCTCAAAAACCAGAGCTAATAAAAATTTTTCATTGTTATTTTCGTTTTTATCACCCCAAAATTAGTAGAAATTGACTAATTTAGTGTAGGAAACATTCAAAAAATATTTTTTTGTTGTGTTGTGTTATCAACTAAACCAACCGCCACTGTTTTATGGTCCAACTTACTTCAAATGTAAACAAATTCTCCATAACCTCTCATTACCCGCCACCCCCCCGACGCCAATAAGTTGTACAGAAAAGGATAGTCCGATACGCGCTTCAAAATACATGTATTGTATTGGTATAGGCATGGCAACTCTATGTCTTATTATTACTCTGAGATTGGAAACGTATTCATTCATATTCATCATGAATCAAAACTAGCGTGAGGTTGGTTTTGAAACGGAATTTGACATTACGTTACGTCAGTTGTCAGTTTTTGCTTTATGTTGATCGTTATAGTTTATAAAGCGCCGAAAACTTTTCATCAAATACGTTGTAAGGATGTACAAAAAAATTATTTCAACGCGGTAAACTTTAAAGTTTTCATGTCTTCTTCTTAATATTAAACGTCAAATATCAGTGTTGACAATAAAGAAAATCTCGAAAATACCAGAAACATGTGAATATGGTCATTTGGTCCAATATATTTGAGAGAGGATATTTATTTTTCACTGTGACTTCTTTTAATTCCTTTTAATCGACAACGATTCGATATTTTTATTTTCTTGACGCCTCAATTTCTTAAAAATTCAAAGACTACCTGAGCAGAGGAAGTTCAAGGGAATATTATAGGTCTTATAATTGTCTGTTCTAATGTGAACTTGTGGATACCAATAAAATTTTATGAAAATTGTTTCGGCATGTTTCTATTGATTGGAGTGATCCATCAGAAATTTCATGTTGAGTTTAATAACTCGCCTTATTTTCATTACTTTCCATTTCATCATGCCAGGGAGCGCTACAATCGCACGTAGTAATCAAAGACATGCGGCAAACTCTTTCTGCTCTAGATTACATCAGATCCTTATGAAGTATTAGAAGGACATCTATCTTAGCATTTGACACACTTTAAAAGTCATAAAATGACAGTTACGCCATTGCCAAAAATTTGAATAAATAAAAACATAGATGTAAATGTGATATATACTTCTGAGAAGAAATAATTTGATTATAAGTTGAAAGTTTATATGTGAAAATTAATAAAATGCCTGCATCAATAGGCGTGAACCTGCGTGTTACAGGACATTGCCGCCAAGGTGGTAGAAAATACATGGAAGACTTTTTTTCAGTAGCATATCAACAAACAGAAGATGAAAAGGATTTGGAATATGCATTTTTTGGTATATATGACGGTCACGGAGGGGCAGAAGCGGCTGCTTTTGCCAAAGATCACTTAATGGAAACTATTATAAAACATAAGAACTTTTGGTCTGATTATGATGAAGATGTGTTACGAGCGATCAAAGATGGTTATATTGCAACACACTATGCTATGTGGAGAGAGCAAGGTAGGTAATAATGTGGCAAATCTCGTCAATTTAGGATACATTGTGTCAAGAAATAATCTTTTGAGAAATTCCATTGTTTACCGAGGTCAGGTATCTGCACATCCTTCGGGTATTGAAATTAACTGGTAAATATAAAATTTATTTCAGTCTTTGGAAATAGGCAAAAGAGAACTCGGCCGCTGATAAGAATTGTACCTCTATCATAAAAGTATGACCATAAGGGAGGTATTTCAACTCAGCCGCTTATTGAAGAACGGTCATAGTCATATGTGTTATCAGAAACTTTTTTTCCTTAAAATCACTGAGAAATTACCTTTCGTTATGGCAACTAACACTTTCTTTCCAAAAACATACCATTTTGACCTTTGTACAGCAACGACATATATCTAGAAAAAAATTAAAATGCATTTATACCAGAAATTCTTATTCTACTTTTCATTTAATGAAATCAATAAGTCCTATATCGACTACACACTCGTATTCATATTCTGAAAAAGGTTTGTATATATTTATCAATTATTTTGCAAATGTTTTCCTGTTTAATCAAATCCATCAATAAGTATTTTCTTTATCCCAGACTTTCTGTATAATCAGCCGTCTTTTCTTTAAGGGTAATTAATGTTCTGAAAATTTCTGGAATCTTAATGTAACTGAATTATAATGCCTGGAATAGGTATTTACCGGACTCAACAAATCCCATTTCGTAACATTAATCGTGTCTCCAAAGGTTTAACTTCAATAAACCAGTTTGATAACATACAATAATCTCTGTTTTAATAATATCCCTCATTAAAAATGCTTTAAAATTCTTTATTACTCCATTAGTCAACTTTCGTTTGGTGAGTTTGGTGAACATACTAGAGAATATAATAGTTGAAATTTTATTTGCAGAAAAGTGGCCCCGTACAGCTTCTGGTCTGCCCAGTACTGCAGGAACAACTGCAAGTGTAGCATTCATAAGACGTGGTAAAATTTATATCGGACATGTTGGAGATTCTGGTATCATTCTTGGTAATTATTTCATACATTCAACAATAATTTGAAATAATTTTTAAATATTTTCAAGGATATCAAGACCCAGACACACTTGGATGGAAAGCAAAAGCTCTCACTAGAGACCATAAACCTGAAAATGATGATGAAATGGCTCGTATCAACAGTTGTGGAGGAAAAGTAGTGTCAAAATCTGGTAAGGGTTTTTTTATCAAAAACAAACCATATAATGTTATAACCTCCTCAAAACAATTTCATTACATTATTTTTCTTCTGAATTGACTCTTCAATAGGTATTCCTTTTTCAATTTGATATATTTTTAGGTGTTCCTAGAGTGGTTTGGAATAGGCCGAAAATTGGTCATAGAGGACCTGTTCGTCGCTCTACTCCAATAGATGAAATTCCATTTTTAGCAGTTGCTAGAAGCCTAGGGGATCTATGGTCATACAACTACCAAAGCAACAGATTTATCGTTTCACCAGATCCTGATTGCACAGTGCTCAAAATTGATACCAACATTCATCGCTGTCTCATATTTGGCACTGATGGACTATACAACATGCTCAGCCCATCAATGGCGGTAATTTTATACAATTTTTAATATGATGGTGTTGAAAGAATGATAGAACTTACAAGCCTTTTAATCTCAGGGTAAAAGTTTTTATTTGAAGGGTTCATAGGTGGTTGGTAATTTGAAAAACAACATTGTTGGCTTTCTCTGTAAGACAATTCTTGTTTTCAACCATGCAAAATCAAAAGGTCATGATTATAATTGAAACCCGATTCATATAAATACAAAAATGCAACAGTGAATATCGAACTAATAACGCCCTAATTCTAAGCTTAACTAAAACGTTCTCTTTCAAGTAGAGTTCAAGTTTATAACACCTATGCAATACTGAGGAATTCCAGGAGAACTGAGACCAGTGATTTGACCTGACAGCACAACCAATGCAAATTAAGATTAAATAATTGTAAAGATCCTACCTTGGGCTGCTTCTTGTTGAAGTGATGTTTGAATTTTTTATTTATATGTAGATTCTTCACCATCCACACACATCTATTCAAACAACCAATATCTTATTCAACTACGATTTTTGATTCGGCATTGCACTACTCTATTTATCTCATCGGTAGGTACTGACTGACTGTTCTCGAAGATCGTATCCTCGAAGTATTCCCTTTTCCCCGCACAACCGTCTTTTTCACGCGGGAAGCACAGCAGTCATTTGCTTCTCGACATAACGTTTTTATTTAAATGGTATCAGGAATTACGAGAGTGGAATCATTCAGGCTCGACACAAACTATTTGATTTCTTTTTTGGAAATCTAATAGAGTATATACAAAAAACATTCTCTTATCAAAATTATATTTGCTTTCTATATTTGGATATACCCAAAGTAATATCAAAAAATGTAATTATGCAATAGTTCTCTTTTTTTTCCAACAAGAAACCTTTTGAATAGTTATCGAGTCCGCGGCAGGGCAGTCACAGAGTATGTCCTCTGCTCTTGATCCTCTCAAGTAACATTTAGCCATCCAGGCTGTAATGTGCAGCTCTGGTATACTGAAGAGATTTCAGTTGATTGTACGATATTGAAGTTGTTGAATTTTCAGTTTGCAAGATTCCCACTTCAATGACAGCAGCAACCTCCTCATATGAGAGCATCCGTGAGTCAGCTATATCTGATGATATATTAGATTTAGCCAAGGAGTGCTTTTCACCTTTGTTTTAGTTAAATCATCGTTTGTTTCTGCTGCTCAAGAATTTGGTGTAAGACAGATTCATGAGATACCGTGCTTTTGAGGATTGATAAGTTGCTTCCTAGCTGCACCACCTTGCTTTATTAAGCATTCGTTGCTTTATTAATAGGATGAAGAGTTGGAAAGCTGAGAAGTTCTTGCTCCTGATTCGATTTTACAGGGCCCCGCATTATTGTAACAAGACTCTATGGTGAAAGGGGTCCTGGTATCTCGAAGGTTTGGTTAGCGACACTGAGGCGTCATTTAGAGACTCTTACCTACACTTGTGACACCTCACCTGGAAGGGTTTTTCGAATGCTCCTTCTTCAGAGCGAATTTCTGTCAGATAATATTAATAAATAAAAACATTCCGGTGATGTTATTCACTTTATTAGATGGTCAAAGGATATGACTGTTCAATATATTTGTTTCAGTATGTCAATTAGTTTAATTCTCTAAAAAGCATATGCTCTTTTGACAGGTACACATTGTTCAGCAAGTAGAAAGACATAATGAAAATGCTGCTCTCAGTGACTCCACATATAAAACTTGGTTGAATCCTAGCAAACTGTTGGTAGAAAGAGCACTTGAAAGGTGGCATGCCACGAAAATGAGGGCGGATAATACATCAGTAGTTACTTTGATGCTGGATCCACCAGGTCCGCCTAGAGCACAGGTTTTGAAAGATCGCAAAAAGAGTTTACCAGATACAGGTGAGATGTTATTTTTTTTCACAAATTATGTAGAAAAGAGGATGGAATACTTGATATTCCATAAAAGAAAAATTACCATACGCATTCAAGAAATAAGTTAAATTCTGCATATACAATATTATTATCTTGTTTTGATAAAAAATAAATTCAAATAATAACTGAAAAAAGGCCAGGAGTAGTTATGAATAATTATTTAAATGTTGTGATGTTATAATATATAATATAAAAAAAAATTCAAAACTTTTTTTGTTCTCTAATAAACCATTCTGTTTGGAATATCTTTTATTAATATTCTGAATTTCACTAAATGAAGCTCTAGTTCTAAATGAAGCTTTGACAAAGTTTTATTTTTCAGGATTGAAAATAATGACTAGGTTTTATGGAGAAAACTCGTCTCAGGAAAAAAACAATCCCCCTAATTGTGATAACACACCAAGTGAAGAACCTAACCAAGCAACCTCTCAAACAATTCTTGAAACTGTTCCTGAACCTGAACAAACACCATCCGTACCTGCCGAACCTACCCCTATTCCTGAAAATGTAGAGAATAATGAAGACCAAAATCTCTATCCGACGGTGTTATCAGAAAGTATGCCCGTCTCCTCAAGTGACCTTACAGTAAATTTTCCTTTGAAAGAGAGAAACTTTTCAACAAAATCCAGGGAGAGCACCAGCTTTGATCCAAGAGAACCTCTGCCCCTGAATTTGGGTTCCGATAATGAAAAAGAAAATGTTAAATCTGTTGACAGTAATGATAACACTATTCAATGTAATGAAGTATCTTCGAGCAATATCGAAGTTGACAATACTTGTAATGATGAAGAACCCATTCTTGAAAGATCTGTGACAACTTCGAAACACAATCTGCGTAGTGGTAAAAAAGGAAAATGTAATTTATCGGTTCCTTCAAAAAGTCCAATGGCGGAGGAGACAGAAAAAAAATTAAAAGTAAGTATATCTTTCGTTTTGTTCAATTGTTGAAAGATGCCAGCTGGATATTTCCACAAATGAATCTTTAATTTGACCTCATCCATTGAAATTTTTGTCAAAGAATTGGACGTTATATAAGGTTTGGGTTTGAGAAAAATTATCTTTTTGACTCAGTCTGACACTTTTCAAAAGAGGTGAATAAAGGCTCATTATGGATGCTCAGGATGCTTTCCATAAATTATTTTTCATCCTACTTATTTTCTAATTTTCTATTTTTGTTCAAATTGAAAGGGGGATATTTTTAGAAGAGAAAGGAAGTTTACCACATTTTTATATATAAATGAAGAAGTAGAAAATTAAAAAGATTTTTTCAAAAGGCTAATTTTGTCTTGACGCAGGTATGGTAATCTTGTATTCACCTAAGTAAATTGCCGCAAATTTTCTGTAACAAGTGTGTGTATGGGTACAAATATTAAACAGATTTGTGTCAAATTGTATTTCTCAAGATACATCAAGGAAAAACTAGTTTGACATGTTTATCCTCTCTATAAATAATTTCACGTTGCTTTTCGTTCCTACTAGTGAAAAAGAAATTTTGGAAGTTATAGACATTATAAAAAAAACATGTCCCGACCCTCAAGGTTTTGATACCAAAGATGTTATTGGATTATTGGCTGATACTTTCAAGTGAATTAAATACTCAAGTAATATTTCACAAGGGACACTTTTTGAAAAATTTAATATGTGCATCAAACAAACCTATGTTAAAAAGTGATAATGAATTTACATGCCTATAGCATGTATTCTCTCATTCTTAGTCTAATCAAATATTTATTGAATATATGTGGATTATCTCTGAAAATACAACACAATATCTGAATGATAATAATAATAATAACGATTATTTTCCCAAGAAACATGTTTATAGTAGGGAAAAATAATAATTCAAAACTAAAGTATAGGTTTCCGCGGTCAGCAATTTGATATACTGTCGTCCGGGTTGTACCTCATGTTCACTTGGAGCTGAAAAAAAGCCAGTGACGACACTTTGTGGTCAGGGAGATTACGACCATATCGTTGAGTCATGTAATTTCAGTTTCAAATGTTTCTTGAAAATTTTTTCAAAGTAGAAGCCGAAACGTCGAACAGATGAAAATTACAGACGCGGTTCAACCTGAATGGCTTGTTATGTTTATATACTGTAGAGCATTCGCCACACTCTATTTATATATACCTGATTTTTTCATTCTATCTCGTTTGGATTTTGCATTGAACAGACTTCTGTCTAAATTATTCGACGTAAGGCTCTGTGAACATGTCTATTTGGATAAAAAATCCACAGTGCATGAACATCTGCAAGAATCAAAACAAAAGATAAGTAAAGATAACCTCAAAATCCTACACATGTGTAATAGAGGGAAAAAAATGAATTTGTTGGGAGCCATAGAAATTAACAAATCAATTAAAAACCCGAAATATATAACCCTAAACGAGCAACTCGATTGATGTAGGTCTCCAATCTTGAATTTATAAGTTTAACAACCCTTATAATTATCAGTGAATTTTATAGTTGACACCCTTGTTTATTTAACTACCTCTCCTTCTATTTTACTTGAAAGCTCCGGATATAACCGAGTTTTCAAGTTAGTTTTATACTGGATAATGGGGTAAGACCCAAAACCAATCGTAAAAATAAAATAACTAGTTTAAATTAGACTAAAGTGTTTTTATTCATTTCATTAAAGTGATCATAAATTTTCATTTCAAAATAAAATCTCGAAACATTAATCTCCTAGAACCTAATCTGTATATTTCAAGATTTTATTTCAAAATACTTATCTTTTTATTTGAAAGGAAAGCAGCATTTGTAAATTCCAAACAAAATATCTCACAGTATATTTATTATTATTGTTTCATTCCTCAATTTGATTTCTACTACTCAAGAAAATAAATATCCCACATAAATGTTTATGTTAGGAATTTTTATTATTTTATTTACAATCAAACAGGCTCCATATGTGTTCTTTGGCTAATTTGAGTCGCTATGATGAGTTTCCACTATTGAGATATTAGAATTAGTAGGCAACTAACATTTCAATCTAATTTGACTGTTTATAAAACAATAATCCTACCACACTATGATTACTATGCTACTCTGATATCATTACTAGATGGTAATTCTATCTCTACTCTACAAAAATTACAAAACAGAGGAATGCGCTTGTTATTAAAATGCCATAAATATACTCCTATATATTATCAATGATTAATATTCTGAATTGGATGACAGTAAAAGGTAGATTACAATATTTTTCTATAATATTCATATTTAAAATACTCCCTGGAAAAGCACCACATTCCTTCAATGAGTTCATTACATATGACCATCAGATACACAAATATGATACAAGAGGAAGAGATAACTTGGTTGTCCTACGAACTAACCTTGCAAGAACAATAAATTCTATATTTCACAGAGGACTCTTGGACTATAACAAGCTTCCTAATAAAATTAAATAAAGTAACACCCTCCAACTCTTCAAACGTTCCTACGGGCACAATATTATTCCAATTGAGTTGTTCATCATTCTTCTCTCTATTAATCTCGTCATCATTTACTACTGCTTTTTTTACACACTATATTCTACTATATGAGTCTTCTATATTTCAGTTTTTTTTGTATTTTGTTTAATAGTAACTGATATATTTGTATAATATTTATGTATATTAGAATATCTATTTCAAATAAACCTATTTCTAATAATTTGCAAGAAATGGGGAGTTTTTAAAAATATGTCAAAAATGGACACTTGAAAATTGTCCAAGATCACAAAAAAATTATTGATTTGAAAATTTGGCTTTTACACCCACCTAGGTAGGCAACCCAAAAGGGTTGCCTCATGATTCTCATAGAACATACTATTGAAAGTTGAAGAGATTTTTCAATCTTCTGGTATAAAAAAATCAACAAATGCATTATTGGTGATCAATTATTTTGTCAAAATTCAAATTACATATTTTGCATGAGAACACTTTCATTTTTTTTCTGATTGATTTGGACTTTACTTGATCAAGATTCATAGTAATTTCATGAAGTACATTCTACAATTTAATCATCACAAATTTTATTTTCAAAAATATATCACGACATGTTTCGCAATCACAGTAGCTTTTTTGTAGTGAATTACATACTGTGATAGCGAAATATGTGATATATTTTTGAAAATGAAGTTTGTGAAGATCAAATCTTAAGGTGTAGTTTATGAAAAAAACTTTCATTTTTGCTTGCTTCATAATCTTCTTTGAACATTATAAGGATTTTTTCCAGTAGACTGATATGATGGTATATTTGGTCTTTGCAGAAATAATTCTCAGAAATTTGTTCAATGAATCTTTCAAAAAGTTACAAAAAAACACTTATCGTCACCTCACTAGTAAGGGATAGGCAATTTTTCAAATAATAAATAATCTCAATATTACTTCTTTTCAGACACCTAAAAGGAAATTGGAGGAAGACCAAAGTGCATCTCAGCCAAGAAAGAGTCTTAGACTAGATAGTACCAAAAAAAAGACCGAAGAGAAAGTTGAGAAGGAAAGAAAAGCTTTCGAAGCTGAAGAAAAATTGAAAAAGCTAGCTGAAAGGGCTTACCTTGTTAAAAGTGAACCTAGAAACATAAATCCCAAACCAAGTCTTGCCCAAAAGATCTTAAAAGTCAAAAATATTGCTCTAAAAAAGAAAAATCGTGTTTTGAATAAACCAGTCACCAAAAAAAAGATTCAGATAGTACTTAAAAAAATGAAGAAATCTGCAGTGTTGAAAACAAAGCCGGTGGTGCCAAAAGTAGAAGGCAAAAAGAAAGGAAAAGTTTTGGTACCTGCTAAATCATCAGAAACTTTAAATCGCAGGAATTCAAATAGGAATGTATCTCAGCGTCAAAGGCAAACTGTAACAAAGAAAATAGGTAAGAAAATGGATAATGAAGTTGTCAAAAATAAAAGTGAAGGAAAACACGTAAAAATCAAAAGTAAGGATAAAATCACGAGGAGCAATATGAAAGAAACTTCAACAAGTAAAGAACGAAATGGAATTGAAAAAGTTGAAGACCGTTCTTCAATTTCACCAAAGACATTGAATATAAAAAAATCGGTCAGACACAGCGCTATTATAGGTAAATAGAATTCCTACATAAAAAATGAATAGTAGAAAATATTCCTTAATGGTCAAGAAATGACAGTGCAATTAAATTTAAATTTTTAATTGAAAAACTAGAATAAAATTGGATCAATTGTTGAAGTAATGAGTAGATAATAAGAATAAGTCACAACATATGATGCAAATAGACAGGATTGAAGTTCATTGAATTATATTGTATTCAGCTACCCATTGACGAAATTTTGTCATTTTTATGCATTCAGATGTTTTTTTTCAGTACATTTCTTGGTGTTAGAAATATCAATGTTTATTTTTGTTAAAGCACCAAAATAGAAAGGCTTTTCAGGAATAATTCAAAGTAAGTAACTGTCAGGAAAATACAGCATTAGCCCATTAAAAACCCATGATGTTTGAGTTTAGCCTATAGGCAATCTAAATTTAAATATAGGATAGACAAAATAACTTTGTCTAATTTCTCCTAAGATTTTCATTTATTTTGACAGGTTTCGGTTCGGTTTGACAAACAAATCCTTGAATACACAATAATATAGTCAATATAGTATAAGGATTTGTTCGTCAGACTGTGTCAGCTTACTTAAGAATACCATCATTACATAGTAAAAAGCATTTCCCGCTGACTGTCCCTATTATGTATGCTTAGATCTTTAAAACTACTCGACTGATTTTGATGCAGGTTTTTTAAAAGATAGAGTGATTCAAGGGGAAGGTTTATATGTATATAACGAGCATAATATAGTGGAGAAACACTGATAATTTTAGAGGTTTTTGATATGACTTGGTAAATAAACACTTTTTTTGCGCTTACATTGCAAACGCTGACTGAACCCTACAAGACAGATCAAAATACTACAGTATTGTACACCTTGAAAAGGTATACAAAAAAGTCGACGATGGTTTATGTCTATTACTTAGGGATAATCCACAATAACCATTTTTGTCCTTTCCTTTTTTTCAAAACAATTTTAAGCAATACAGCATTAATCCTTAACCAATTAAGTACTTTGATATAAATCAGTATGGCCCTTTACAGCATGTAATTCAAATGAATATTTTCGAAGATATCACAGATTTAAAATGCAGGGACATAGTGGTTGCGGCACGTGCCTATAATAAATAGCGCGTTGAAGGCCGTGCTTTGCCCTAGCACTATATGATTAGCAGCGATCGCAAATGTTATAATTGCCCCCGTGAGGAGCCGGTGCGGTTCGCTAGTTGTTTCAATAAACAGAAACTGGTCGTAACAAACAAAAATCTTAATAGAAATTGGACAAAAGCTACTTTCTCTTATATCTTATATTTAATATGAATTCCCACAAAATAAATAGTTCATCAATCGAACAAGTCTTGTTTTGAAAGATTTCGATACATTTAACACTTTTTGAATATCTAGGGATTTGATTAAGTCATTTCTCACAAAACATAGTACTGGCAGTACTATGACTTCAATTGATTTGGTCCTCTTGATAACAGATTATGGCAGAAGTATGCAGCAAACTGCAGTTACACCCGCTGCTCGAAAGTTCAGCTCAATACATCTAGAACTGCAAATTTTAAACATTCTTATGAATCTTGAGAATTTTCCTGGGTGCTTGGATATCTCCGTGAAAGACATTACTTTTCTGGTAGATATTTTTTGTCACATGCCTTTTTCAGATTGCTTATTCAGTACAAAATAGTTTGTCTTCAGAGTTTTTTATTACAGACTCGATTTTTTTATTACAGCCTCGAATTTTTTGATCTCATGAGTTCTAAATAGTTTACTCATGTAATGTAGCAATTTCATTCTACTTTTTAATTGCACTGTCTGAATAGTAAAAACCCAATGGTTTTGTTTATATGTTATTTGTCATCCATATTTCCATTTATATTTTCAGATACTGCTTCCCAGAAGGGAAAACCAACAAAAGTAAAGACAAAGGTAGAAAAAAACTTTCCGGCTAAAAACTTGAGAATACGTTTACAACAGAAAACAGAAAATTTAAAAAAGAATGTTATGCGTAAGAAGTAAGAATGTGTTACGGTAATGAAAAACTGAAGAACTGAAAAAAAAACTATCATTTTTTATGTAATTTCATTTTGAGATATTTTGGTGGTATATTTGCTGCATATTGAATTTTTTCGATTTTCATTGAATGGTTTGTTGAACATTATTGAAATTATTTGTTTTGAAACAGTGTAGTATTAAGTTAGAATTTTTTGAAGGTTGTCGGCATTATTTCATGTTTACTATGTAAAGTATTTCTTTTATTGATACTTTGCTTCGTAGTCATCATACGATTGTACCTTGAATTTTTTGTGTTGATTTCTTTTTAATTTGGTAATTTCTTGTACCAATTTTGTTTATAGCTTATTTTAAATATCAATTTCGGGATTTTCAATAAAACACATTTACATTTCTAACTTTTTAAATTCTTTCAACACTGAAAATTTTAATCAAAAGCTCTCATGTGAGACATTGATTTTTTCAAATGTTATCAGTATTATTGAAAATCCTCATAAGAAGCATTATTTATAATCATACGTTTTACACATTTAATTTTAAGTTGTGTGGTTACAACAAAAATTTTGTGCCTTTGTTACCAAAAATATTGAGAAATGTTACATATGTACACTTGGGCAAATGAAATATATTTATAAGAAATTTATTATTTTCTCAAAATACAATTTATAGTTATTAAAGTTGTTTCATTGAAAACATGTGAATGGATTGAATGAATATGTAGTCTTTTCATAATTATTAACCATGGTATTCATACAAGGTGTTTTGAAAAAAATGTCTTTGTGGATTCTGTAGAATTGTGTATTTATTCGCATTAAAAATAAGTATTTTGATATTCTCAAATATTGTGTACCAACAGAAAAGCAATTATGTTGAAATATGGGCAAACTTTCACAATGGGAGTGGGATTTCACGATTATGATACGTTCACGGGAAGTGTTTAAATCTGTTTTTCCGTTAATCAGCTGTCGCCACAATACGACCGACAACTCTCAGAAGTTGAGAAACTTGTGCGAGCTAAGGACTAACGAGGTCTTACCTTTTAACGTGTTATTCCTAACACTTGGTATATTTGATTCCATCCAGAGCGGTACCTATCAGAAATACGCGATGGACTGTGGCTGCTCATCGTTTTTAGGTTCAACTTAATACACCTCGAACTTCACTGTTTAAGGACTATTTCACTTAGAGAACGGCATTTATGTGGAATAAACTTCCTGGGAATGTTTTTCTAAATGAATATATTCTCTAGTGATTCAAATCCAACGTGAATCGCTACTTTGGCACAGGCACCGCTCTTAGAGCGCCTTAAGGATTTTCCTGTAGTGCTTGTGCCTTGTCCTTAAAAAAATAAGTCCTTTGACAGAAGTTTATTTTAAATATACAGAAGAATTTGAATACATTATCACTTAGTACTACAACGTCAGAATGCTTTTAAAAAAGTTGATAAATGTTACTGGTCTTTCCTAGGTTTACTTTCTCTAAATGTACCAAAAAAAGATCTATTGTTAAGAAAAGTGTTTTTTTTTATAAAATTCTCTTGCCTTTTGGAATTGTATGTTTTGAGATTTTCTGCCAATAAAATTTGCATTTTCAATTTTTGCCACTACATTGAATAAAGAAAAATATCTCCTACCAAGTTGTTGTTTTACAAAAGTTATTAAATGAAAAACGTCGATGTTCTCTTTCAGCTTTTAACATAAACATTACAGTCGAGGCTAATATTAAAATTAATATTTGGTAGTTAACTCTTGACAAGTTCAAACAGAAAAAGACAACTAACATTTTTCTTGATAATAAACTTGACTGGAAAATTATGTAAATACTGTGATCATCGATGTGGTTCTATAGATATACCATAAAAGATCATTTCCAATATTATTATAAGGTATCAGAATGAAATTTGGGCTCGTCGATTTCCAACCTGAATTCTTTAGATTTGTCAGAGAACAATAAGTTTATTATAAAGTTTTGTTCAAACAAGTCTTGCCTTTTTCGTAGAAGACACACTTTCTGAAATATATGACATGAAATTCATTTGTTATTTAAAAATTGAAGTATTTCAGGAATAATCATATCTACCATAAAATGTGTTACAATTTTTATTATTTACCATAAAATTGTTTCCAGAAAGTTTCGAAGGGAAGTCGACTCAGCTCACAATATACAAGTATTTATATTCTATAACACATTACCACGGACCGAAGTGCCAGAGGTATTTTTTTCGTGCACAAATATACTTTACTATATTTGTATATCTGCAGGTATGCTTTAAAAAATGTAATAAGCAGAAATTTCGAATTAAGAAGAACAGATCTGCACCTTCTGGGTGCCGATTGCCATATTGAATCTCGCCATTTACTTATTCAGTTCACATGTATGATAAAGATTATTATTATTATTTGAAAAAAAATATATATGTGTATATTCACTTTGTGAGGTTGCAGTCGATTATTGTGTATATATAGATATATTCTCTGATTTGTGTATTTATGTGTATGATGATAATCATTTTTGAGACTCAAAGTATATATTTAATCATCTACTTTTTTTCAAGTTTCAGTTGTGATTTATCTTTTTTTGTGCTTTGTTCGCACTCAGTTATGTTATAGTTTTAAATCATTGTTTTTCCTACTATAAACAAGTATATTTCTTGCGTGGAAAAATAAATCGTTATTCCTGATCCTCAGCTCTATTATTGTATAAGTATTGTCAGTGACAAAAGTCAAAAATTCAAATTTTTTAGATAAGATGGCTTGAAAGATCTGATTATTGTTTACAAAATAATCATCATTGAAAATAGTAATGTTTTGAATATTATATGCTGTTTCCATTTTAATAAATAACTACCACATTCTCGAAATAAGTAAAACGAATCAAAAGACAACATGTATCATTAGGGATCTACCTAGCCTAAGGATTTGCTTCAGTATTCCAGGAAGCAGCTTGCTCAGATCATAAATTATTGTGACCTCAAAATCCAATTTTTTCCCAATGGGAGTCCCAAATAGTGTTATTTTCAATAATATGTGAACTTTAATTGACATTTATATAGTAAAATACAAAAGTTAAAATGTTAGTTTCATTCGTATTCAAATAAAGTGAATTTGAATAGCACCAAGTTTTGAATGCAGTTCCTCTACTTTTCTACGATGCCGCAAAAGAGTGGAGTCGTCTGCGAGTACCTAAGATGAATCACTGTGTTTAGTTTTTTGAGTTTTTTCTCTGCAAAATTCATTGAGTTCATTCAAATAAATATTTAGTGGAGAAGGTGAAGAATCATCTTTATTACTCAACTATCATTATTCTCTGGATTTGTTCTCGACATTGGCGAATCTTTCTGTATAATAATTTTCTTTTTCACGTTTTATCTACCCTCCTATATTTGATTTTATAATTATCAAAATATGTGTGAAATAAGATGCTATCAGAATTTTTTCTTATTTTATGCAGAGATTTTGAATTTTTTGTTGGTATTCTGATACCGTGTGTTTTCTCAGGTTTTTTATGGGTTTTCTTCCCAGTTTGTTTACCTAGGAAGCATATGTTGAATACTGTAGTTAGATGCAAGTGAAATAATGCTAATACTTCTAGAAAATTCAGTATCATACTATTAATAAAATCTTTTATAGTTATACATTCAACCGCGTGTTTTATTTCCTTTGATTTTGAGCATATTAGTTTGAAAAATTATAATAGGACGAAACTGCAGTTACAAATAAAAGTGATAAAAACCAGAGAACGTTTCATTTCTTATTTTCTTGCAGGAATAATTTTTGAGTCATGATAATTGAAATTTGAAGAAACATGGTCAATTACTGAGTACTGTGTTCTTTGAGTAGTGGGTTCTTTGACAAGAATTACAATGTTAAATGACAAAAATATGTTGCACAACTCTTGACTATCTTTCGAGTTTTGATCTATATATGTAATTAACATTGCAGTCACTTGCTATCAGGATTTTGTCTTTAACTGTCAAAAATAATTTTACATCAGATCGTGGAGATATATTTATAGATACATACTATATTCGATCCATTATACACTAAAGAAAACCAATTTTTAGAAATGAGTAGGAATATATGTTTGAAACGTTCATGTTTTACGATTATACCTATCCAGATAAATATACAATGCATTCCATTCAAAACAAGCCACCCTGAATAGCTTTTAGTACAACGATTCGCAGGAAAAATTAAAAAAAAAAACATGTCAACCACAGTGTACAGGGGGACACATTTTTTGACGTATTCACATTTTATGTTACTTTCCCTATCGCACCCCCAGAGCATGTCACCAATTTTTTTTTAAATGGATTACCCTATAATTGTTTCGCATTATCAGATGCTCCATGATGATCAGATTTCAATAAAGTTTAAAACATATGGTCTGAAGCTTATGGTTCAGGAGCTACACATTATTTGAGTTGAAAATGAGCCACTCTGAATAACTTTTGGAACAATGATATTCAGGAAAATTAAAAAAAACACCTCAACAATAGTATACCGGAGGGCACATTTTGATATATTCACATTTGAGCTAACTTTTCCTATCGCACCCCCAGAGCATGTCACCATTTTTTTTAATGGATCAATTGTTTTGCATTACTAAATGTTCCATGATGAACAGATTTCAACAAAGTAGAATACATTATGGTCTGAAGCTCACAGTTTGGAAGCTAAATATTATTTGAGTTGAAAACGAGCCACCCTGAATGAACTTCTGTACAATCTGTACCTAGGTTTCATAGGTGTTTTTCTGAGGTATACTTCAAGTATATTTGTCTCATTCTACAATAACGATAACTTACCAGGTGAAGTTACAATTGGCGTTTCTGTTATTGTGAATGCTTGAGAAGCAATGGTTTATACTCTTTGAGAACGAATTGAAATAGTGAGTTTGTACTACCAAAATGGAAATAGTGTTAGAGCTGCTGTCCGTATGTTCAATGATAATCATCCAGGAAGAAATGCACGACACCAATACGTTCCGGAATTATTGAAGAAATTTATGGAAACTAGAACTGTTAACAATACAAGCGATGAAGCTATTTGTACTGCAGTTTTAGGGCACATTAAACTGATGGAAAATTCGCAATCTCTTAATAAGTTAGTTATCTCGAGAATCAGGAATCAGTCGAACAAATGTTTTCAGGATCCTTCATAAGTACAAATTGTTTCCATATAAGATTAGACTAGTTCATGAACTGAACGAAGATGATTTCGATAGACGTATCGAGTTTTGTGAAAATCTCACTGAACGGATCAACTTGTATCCGAATTTCTTGTATAAAATTTGTTTTTCGGATGAATGTACGTTTAGTTTGAATGGAGAGGTGATACGAATCCTCATTTATACCGTTAAGTTCATACCTAACGACCTCGAAAATTGAATGTTTGGGCAGGAATTTTAGGTGACCACATCATAGGACCTTTTTTATCGATGATAATTTGTCTAGTGATAGGTATTTGGATGTGTTAGGGAATCGAATAATACCGTGCATCAATAGGGCAATTGAGGAGGATATAAATTTACTCGAAAACGAAATAGTTTTTCAGCAGGATGGTGCACCTCCTCGTTATGCAGCTCTAGTGCGACAGTTTTAGGTTGATCATTTTTCCGGTCGCTGGATTGTCAGAAGAGGTCCTACAGAATGGCTATACGGATCTCATTCTTGTAGATTTCTTTCTATGGGGTCATTTGAAGTCTAAAGTGTATGAAATAGAATCATTAACATTAGAAGATTTCAGAATATAATGAGGCATTGTAGAGAAGTAACTTCCGAGATTCTCAACCATGTGAGGGCGGCAATGGAAGCTCGTTTGTACCATTGTATGAAAGTTGGTTGAAACGTTTTTAAACATTCACGATAGAAATTTTTTTTCTTCTTATTGTCCAGTCATCAGATTTTAATTGAAAAATTAATAAAAAAATCTCTTTTTCTGATTTATTGCTTCCATATTTGTCTCTAAAACGAATATTTCAATATGTTGCCTCCTGTATAATTGTTGACCTGTTTTTTTATTTTTCCAATAAATCATTGTTTCAAAAGTTATTCAGGGTGACTCGTTTTCAACCCAAATAATTTGTAGCTCCCGAATTTCAGACTATATGTTTTATACTTTGTTGAAATCTGCTCATCATGGAGCATCTGATAATGTGAAACAATATAGGGTGATCTATTTAAAAAAAATGGTGACATGCTCTGAGGGTGCGACAGGGGAAGTAACATCAAATGTGAATATGTCAAAATGTGTCCCCCTGTATACTATTGTTGACGTGTTTTTTTATTTTTCCTGAAAATCATTGTACCAAAAGTTAATGCTCGTTTTGGAATTGTGAATATTCTCGAAATTTGAATATATCTGCTCCAGTTTATCAATCCATAAGTGAAGGAAATATGAAACGTTGCATGATAAGCGGTATGGGCAGCTTCATTACCGGCTTAATTTTTTATCTGCCTGATTGCATAGACATTGCATGATATATTTTTTGCTAGTTTGTATCAATATGGGGTTCCTAAGTTATCTCTGAATCAATAGTTATACCAAGACATTTCACATTATCTGAGGAATTATGAGACAGCGAGAACATAACTGTTTGGATCTTGCTTTTATTCACACAAATGCTGTTCGCATTGAACCAGTCCGTAGCTTCCTGAGTAACTCGCTTTTCCAATTGTGATGACTCTTCAAACTTTTTTTCCAATTGGCGAAGGAAGTGTCATCGGCAAATATAACATCATGAATATTGTCATTGAATTTGGCAGGTCATTGAATAAAAAAAAGTAGTGGTCCAATCACACTACCTTGTGGTACACCATTCAACATCAGCTACTGAGTTCTTTATTATATAATACATATTACTTTCTGTCATTTGGATATGATGCTAGCAGATTGTGTGCTATGTCTACAAATCCATAGTATCTCAATTTTTCTAATAAAATGTCAGTAGAGACGCAGTCGAACGCCTTGCCAAGCTCGAGGAGTATGCCAATTGTTGATTCTTTGTTTTTGGTCTGTAGTTCGAAGGAAAATTGATATCACCATTTTTGAAGACCAGAATTATCTTTGCAATTTATAGTTTTGATAGGAATACACCAGATTTCAAAATTAAGTTGACAATACATGTAATTGGTCGTAGTAGCACAGATAGATTTTCTTTATGCATGACCACTGAGTGATTGTAAATATCAAGCGAGCCCGAGTTTTTTGGGATTTGATGACTTCATTCAATAGTTTGAGAATGAATTATTGGGTGTGCTTATTTCATTATTCATATCAAAGGCTTCATTTATAAAAAAAGTCATTTAACTGCTCTGATGTAAGACAAGAAGAGCCATTTGTGTGATTATTACTACCTATGTTTTTATTTATAGGCTGCTAGATTGTTTTTGTTTTATTTTTTGAAAAAACTAATTAATATAGTTTATTGTATGATTTTCACTACAAAAGGTTTTACAAAAACTGCGACACGTGTTACGCTATACAATAGCTTTCTTGAGCGTAAACATGTGTCGCGGTTTTTGTAACTCCTTTTATAGTGAAAATCATACAATAAACTGTATTAATTAGTTTTAATATGGATTTTCATCAAGTATCGGCCAGTTTTATTGAAATAAATTTTTTTTATTTAAATTCTGATTTGATCTACTCACAGTTGTTGAAAAGTTTTAATACAATATGGCTTGCATGTTTTTGAAAGAAACGTCCGAAGAAGCCATCGTATGGCGAAACACGTGTTGCGTTTTTGTAAAACTGTTTAGTGAAAATCCCACAATAAAGTGTTTCATGAATACGTTGGATTTACAAAAGGCTGTTCAACCCAAGATGACATCTCATCGTTTTATAGAGTATTATTCTCGGATTTTTTGATTGATTCGGCCGTTACTTGATAAAGATCCATACCTAGTTATTTCATCAACTACACCCCACGATTTGATCTCCACAAACTTTATTTGAGAAATATATCACGACATGTTTCGCTAACACAGTAGCTTCCTCAACAATGATCTCAAATCACTGTAAAAGAAGCGTGTTAGCGAAATATCAAATCAAATCGTAAGATGAAAAAGTATTATTCTCGATTACCTGACTCAAATTCTACAGATTTTTGTTGGGACTCAATGAAAGACCTGTAAGGACAAATTATTAAAATGTAATTTAATTTTTATACCATGAAGTCGCAGAGAAAACACTTTTTTGCTTTACAAGAACGTGATGACAAGCGCCTAGCGACAGGCCCTACATCTAATATCAGTAACCTCTACCTTCCCCAACCTAATATTTCATTTCATTCGAAAAAAATAATCATTATTCATTACGTTTTTGATTGGCACACTCTGTACAACTACACCGTAGAGAGGGAAAACCAAACTATCAATCAACCATACACGAAGTAGTTGCACTAGTAGTACACAATTAAAACATTATCCAAAACATCGAACAAACACGATTTACCACTCACTAAAAACAAGCGCGTATATTAACTGAAACTGTTGATCATTCGAGCAGTACGGCGACGCAGGCCGTCGCTCAAAATGGCCGACGTCGGCATCGCAACGTCGGCGTCTCGTCAGTGACTTCCATCGAACAGCTGTTTCTTACCAATTCTGAGAAATGGAATCGGTTTTTGTGACGTTTCCCAGTGAAAGTGTTTGGATGTGATGTGGCCTGATAGTTTTTTTGGCGAGAAAGATGAGAAGGAATCCACAAAGTCAGTCGCAGTTGCAGATCGAACAAGATAACGATTGCACTTCGTCGTCTCCAGTAGGTTTTGCAATATTTTCCATGAGTCATTTGTTTAAATTTATCGCAACGTGAAAGTAATACTAAACAGTCCGCGGTTGTCGTTTTATTCAGTACTTACCTAAATTGATTTCGCAAAGCGAAAAACGAAACATAATTGGTTTTTTTTTTATTATAAGTTGTCGCGTGCAGAAATCCTTGTCTTCGGAATATGTTTTGTTTCAATGTATTCTGTGATTTTCAATCTTAAGCTGATTTTTATTATCTATTACACGAGCGATATAACAAGGACTAGAGTTTCAATCGTTATATTCATAGTAATGATAACAAAGTCAGGGGAAAGGAAAGGTCAAAAATACGAGTTTCATTGTTTTTATATACCAACACATTCGCATGTAGTTTACAACTATATTGAATACAAGAAAAGGTCCAACTAAATATCGTTTGTCAACATAGGCAGAGCCAGTTTTACACTAAATATTTACTGTTGAAATATTGCGAAGGGATTGAATTTTCACATTAGCCCATTCGTTATTTTCTTTATCGACCTTTTCTTCAAGTATAATCGTCTCTACGTGTATTTTCAACTTTATTCCTTATCTGAGAACAACATTATGACCGTATATATGACTATGAATAAAAACGTAATACATTCAGTGTCGATATTCAATGTTACACTGTCATATGATTTGGACAAATATGCAATGTTTCATTATCGCAGATTATGAAATTGTTGGTATGAACAGTGGAACAACTGCTGAATAAATCAAGGATATTTTGACACATATTGGTGGTATACTGGTGATGTGGATTTGAAACATGTTTTTATAACCAATGATACGTGTCAACCATAAAGAGATTAACACTATTTTAAAATGATGGTTCAATAAACATTAAATATACTGTAAAAACTGACTTTGACTTATCACTATTTTAGCAATATCAAACGATGCGAAAATAATTTTGTTCGTGATTTTTTTTATATCATATCAGCAACACCTCGTTAATCCTAAGCTCGCACAAGTTTCGATTACTGAGAGTTGTCGTTATCGTAGGGGGGCGACAGCTGAATAACGGAAAAACAGATATTAACAGATTTCAATAGATTCAGAAAAATGTTGGAAAACGATAACGAACAAAAACTATTAGCTGCCAACAAAAATTTAAAAATGATAAATTGTAGCTCTGGTACAGTAATAATTTTTATATTAAAACTGTTCTGTAGCCTATTAGCAGACAGTACTGCAGCCAAAAGTGATAATTTTCAATTAAAATAAAATATTCACAACATCCTGTTATTTTGGAACCCATGAACCGATAAAAAAAAAATGTCAATTTCAAATTGACCTGCAAAATGGGTTGAATTTTCGAAAAGAACCACTAGACATTTTTTATCGGAAAAGTGGATACCAAATTCGATTTGGGCATATTTCGGCCATCTAGATTCCAAGTTTCAGCCCAATACCTCATACAGTGTGTTAGTTATATGATGATAAATTTCCAAATCCATGATTTTTTGACTAACCCTGTTTGAAAGTCTATGAACTTTAAAGAAATGATAAGTAACCTTTCAATGAAATAATACTTCGCATAGTCAGCTACGAAGTTACAAGGGGTTGTACTCGTTTCATGAAGTTGTCTCTAGTTCAATTGAAATCAACAAATCAAAAGTTGAAAACGTGTTTTTAATTTTATTGCCAAAAAAATATAAAACCCTCCATTGTTTAGTGTGTTTTCAAAAAACATTTGACCTATTATATGGTTTTTGAATGAATATTCCTACCCAGACATTGATTTTTTGTGAATATTGTCTTTTTGCATTTATCATTCTGAGTGGACATTGTACCGTTAGTGGTAAATGTTGCCTCATCGGCGAAGAGAACATTGCTTAGAAAGTTATTATTATTATTCAAATATTCACCTTCCCAGAATAAACAGAATTTCAACCTTTGTTCCTTATCGCCTCTTTCTAACGTGTGCATGGTTTTCGGTTTGAAGAAAATAACTTTATTTTTTTTCAAATATGTACGCATTTTATATATTCTACACGTGTAAATCTCGTGAAATCTGCCGCAAGCTATTTTCCGGGTTTTCTTGAACAGACTCTATAATTCACTCTCTCGGTTATATTGAATAACATATTGATCCTGGAGACGGTTGTTTGGTGGTTCACGATCTGGATCTCTTCTGTTGAATTCTGTCTCGGCCACCCTCGTTAATCGAGCATTATCACCAACTGAACGCACAATCTCAAGTCTCTCGACTAAGTTGAGATTTACCATTTTGAAAACTCGCAAAACCCTTTTATAACTCTCTTCACCAAATATTCGTGGAAAGTGACTGAGGATACCTAACTGTCAAAATTATAACAACGAAAAAAGATACAACTCAATATCCAAGCCTACTATGAAAAACAGTGCCTGGCTTATTGATTTAATCATATGAATATGCCATATGAAATGAAATCATGAGAACTTTGCTAAAATATATCACCGAGTTGGGACAAATGTTAAAAAAAAGCATATAAAGGGTTATTTTTACAATCGTTGATTGACAGTAGTCAGGGAAGCTATGGATTATACTCTAGACGACCCCTCCCGATATGGAAGGCCCCGACACTCTGTCTAATGAGGCCCCTATATCTTCCGTTGAAAGATGAACAACTTCTTCATCCAACTGACCCCAGCCAGGTAGGGGTACACCGTGAAGGGCGGTACTGATCTCTGAGGACATTCATGCCGCCATACCATCAACACCCACCATCAGTTATGACCCGTTTGTCCTTCTGGCAAACATCAGTTCAAAGGGTAAGGGAGCCAGGCTCAAACCTGATTGAAATCAAGACGACGTGCAGCGTTGATTGACTATTTACTATACCAAAAAATCAAACGATATGGATAAAACATTTTCAACTTTTGATTTTTAGTTGATCTATAGGGACATCTATCTGTACCTGTTACAATGATAAAACTTCGTATTTGAATATTTCATGTGTTTCTCATTATTTCAATGGCTACTTCAACTTTTCTTCGAAATGTACCTACCGTTTGTCAGTCAAAGAATCATGAAATTGGGAATTCGTCATCATATAACTAACACACAATAAGAGATATTGGGGTGAACCTTGGTATGTGAGGGTTTGAAATATGCTCAAATCGAATAGGTTATCCACTTTTTCGATGAAAAAATGCCTAATGCCCCTTCTCGAAATTTCGACATATTGAGCAGGTCATAGTAGGCCTTAAAAATGAGAAAAATCCATATCTATCAACATCTCGGAATAGAGCTCGTCGAGTACTTTAATTTGAATTTTTATTTTTCAAAATCGGTTCATGGGTTCCAAAATAACAAGGTGTTGCAGTTTGAAATCGCACACACTGTATATCATTTTCGCATACACAGTTGTTTCATTTTGATTTCTTATCCATTGTATGCGTTATCTATCACGTCTCTAGTTCAGTATTTGTTCATTGAATTTTTTGTGTGTTTGGAAGAAATACCAAAATAAAAATATTTAACAACATAGAAGATTAATAAGAAGTGAGTGAGAAGTTACAAGTGTAAATACATAAGAAGTGATTAAGATAATCTGTGAATACAGGTAAAATACTTGAAATTAGTTGAATTGAAAGGGGTAAATTATTTAAGAAAGATTACTTTTTGGGAAAAAAGGATTTTTGGCTTTCTACTTCTTCATTTTCATTCAACTTCCAAAGAAATAAAGGAATCAATTTCAAAATAAACTATTCACAAATATCTAAAACAAACACTTTTCCCAAACAACACCAGAACCCCAACATTCTTCTCGACACTGTTTCACTGACCAAGTCGGCTTCTGCGGGAGATGAAATAAACTAATTCCTAACTGAAAAACTAGTCCGTATTTTTATCTAACAAGGTTGATTCACCCTTCGAGGAGATTATGACAGTTCTCGTATTTGGGAAAAGTGTTTGTTTTGGAGTTTTTTAACTCCAGAGATTCTAGTTCTATCTTTTCTGTACAAAGATATGTAGATCATTAATTTACTCACAGATACAAACTTGAAGAAAAATCCCTACCGAAACAACTGCATTCACATGAATATTGAATTACAAGAAAGAAAAAATACTTTCAAAAAAACTACTTACATATGAACATTGAATTATACAAAAATCACTTTTTCCTATTATTTCGTTATGAAATTGAATTAGAGATCATTCATAAAAATACTCCCACAATATCATATATATGAAACAGTTATTATTTTATTATTCCATTTGATGTTGAATATAAAAATAATACTCGAAATTTAATAATAATAGCCTAGAAGCTGGAGATAACTGTTTTTTGAATATTTAACCTGCTCTTACTATAAAATTTGTAAATTCTGAACTAGTGTAGAGAAGGGTAGACCGATACTCTGAAAGGTGTTACTGTTAACAAGAATATCGTTTGATGAAAGTAATATCACACACCTTCAAACAATGCGTTGTTTATCATTCCATTTGAATTCCTACTTGATATTTATTGTTACCTGAATTAATAACGATAGCTATTTAATTAGTACTATTGAAGTGAGTATGATTTTCTAGATGATTCATCAATTGGTCAGCTGAAGGAGTCATTATATTACTAAGCAATTGAGACTTCCTCTTTATATATTTAGATCAGCACATAAAACTATTTACGCTGGTTTTTTCATAATACTTCGTGTTTGTTCTATTATTCGGTCTCCAGTAACCGACAATTTCAAAAATTAAAACATAGAATACATGAATAACTTTTTTTATTAGGCTGATACAAGCAACTTTTTTTTAGTCACAAATCCTGGAAAGAGTTCAATCAGACCGAGTTACAGTTACCAAACCTGAGGAAGATCGACGACGACGGACAATCATCGTAGAAAAAAAGAATGGATCTTTTGGATTTACACTTCAAAGTTATGGAATACATTACAAGAAAGAAAAGGAAATAGAAATGATTACCTACGTGGATTATGTGGACTACGACGGTCCAGCGTATAGGGCTGGTATGAGAGAAGGGGATGTCATCTTATCCATAAATGGTACTGATATGGAGAAGGCTGATCATAAAACCCTAGTTAATTACATAAAAAATTGTGATACTAGAATGAGAATGGTGGTTTTGTTTGAAGATTGTGTACGGAAGGTAAGATTATATCTACTAATTCTTTGCACTACTACCTAGAGTGAGGTTTACTACCCCCATCATTGTTATACGTGTTGGGGACACTAAACATTTTCGGTCCACATGTTCTCCTCTAAAACCATCAATAGTAAGTCTGACCAACATGGAGGACGAAAAATCCCATTTTGAAAGTTGGTACTGAGTCTTCGAGAACTCTAACTAATCACAAGGGAGACCTCACACGCCTCAAAAATCACAAATGGGGTAACATATGTTACCCCATTTGTCGTCATGAGCTCCTCCTCTGAGGAGCTCATGACGACTGATGAAAATAACTGCCCCGTTGCTCATCTTATAGGCTATCGTATTGCTCCAGTGTGCACTGGAGTGTTGCGAGGATAAAAGTTGCATCGGACGATAAAAGATTGCTCATGTTGCATCGCTTATCATATCACTCCAGTGGGAACGACACCTTATTTTTCCTTCGAAAGGAAAAAAATCCGAACTTTCTCTTGATGTGACAGTTCACCTGATTTGAAAATAAGGCCCAGACATTTTTCTCACGATAATTTATGTAATTGAAGATATTTTGATTCTTTTGCATTATATGGCTGATGTTATTTTAATAACTCCCCAAGCCCCTAGGTAGCTAAGCAAGTTATTAACAGTTATATACACATAAATTTCAATTCCAAGAGAGATGATGTGTTCTTGAAAAAGCGACAACATTATCAATTCCGAAAAGATACTGAACATCAGACTGGCCTAGTGGCCTTTAGTTTCACAGCTGGCAGAGATATTACTGATGATGGATCTTTATTTTCAGCTTGAAAGATGGAAGGTTGATGCCAAAACTCTTTTAATGTCTTCACTAGATCACAAAACAAACTAATACGAACTCACATATGTTTATTTTGTTTCAAGGTCGAGTTACATATGAGATATATCAAACTTCAAAGAATACTCCAAACGAAGATGGAAGAACTGGAACGGTTATGTTTGAGAGAAAGGCAACTTTTCGAGGGAAAATGGAAAACGCATAGTTTGCCAGCAAGAAAAAAGGCTTCACAAGCAAATAATGGTGGTCCGCCAACTCCTACTCAGTCATCTTATTCATATTGTAGACCAACAGTTTCGACAGAAGATGTGGCGAAAGTAGCTCAGCAACAGAAACAGCCAACGCCCCCTTTAGTTTTTTCCTACCAATACTTAGATTCACAGTATAGGTAAGCAAGTGACCGTTTTCTATAATTATGATTTTTTTTGAGAAACAATTTTAGAAACTGAAGGGAAATATTTCAGGAGAGATTAGTTTTTGCCAAAACAGCATTTTAGTTTTCCACTTCTCATCTTTATTTAAAAACGTTGTATAGCATTTTTTTGAATGATATTTGTCTCAGTTCCATTACAGTACAAACTATAAGGGAAAGAGTGATTTTCGTTTACCTAATTCAATGTTCAAAGTATATAGTTGTTTCGAAAGAACTCTTTCTTCCGTGTAATTCAATGTTAATGAAGTATTTGATTGGAAACGGTTTTTATTTTCAGTTTGTATCTATGATCTAAACATCATTGTGAAGAGCGTATTCTCAACTTAATTGTTTTTTCCTTTAGTCAGAAGTTTTCCAATTTTTTTTTGTATGAAGAAGGAGAAGTAAAAAGCCTTTCTTTCCCAAAAAATCAATCTCTCCTAAAAATATATCCCTTTCAATTTGAATATTCAATTCAATTCATTGATAAGGTCGGTAGCCGGGCGGTTCGACGTGGGTGCTTTGTTCACTCAGTTAATCGGCCGATGTTTGAGTCGATACTTCAAGCCCCAGGCTGAACGCTCAATTTTCACTTGCTATCGTCCAACCCGTGTTAAGGAATCACACGTTAAAAGACAAGACATCGTTAATCCTTAGCTCGCTCAAGTTTCTACTTCTGAGGGTTGTCGTTCGTAGGGGTGCGATAGCTGGTTAACGGAAAGAAAACATATAAACATATTTCTACGTTTTTCAATCAGTAACCTATTTTTGAAGATCTATGAAAAGAGATATAGGAAATATTTCTAAGCTGTCTATAACATTGAAAAATATTTTTTTAAATGTGTAGAACTATACTGTCTAGTTGATAAATTCCGCTACATCCAACTTTTTAAAAACTGTTGAAAACAATTGGTTGATTACTAATATTCAAAATATTTCAACAAGATATAGAATCTTCTAGAAGGATTACGCCTTTTTAGTGATTATATGTGTGTGTATAATAGGTATTTCCTATAGTATCAGTGAGATCACTTAAATGAATCATTTTATTAGTTTTTGCAATTATATAGCATATAAATATACTTCTATTAACCGCTATTGACTAATTTCACAAATATGGTTACCAACCAACACCAGATGTGTCTTGGACAAAACTCAGTTATCCACAAATCTTTTTTAATAATTTAAGAACATCCATGACACCTACTGAGGGAATATGTATAATAATCTATGTTGCATACAAAACCCATCTAAGAGTATTCACTTCAATGGCCACTGTATGACAGAAAAGAAATCAAATCAGTGTGATGACTGAGTCGAAAAGAGATGAGTACGTCAAGACAATGAATATTTCTAATAAATATTCAAAATATTTACCTCTCCTAACGTTTCTACAAACTGAGTTAGAAAGAATAGCTGCCGAAATACAACTACGTCCCTGGCTAATACCACGTCGGATATTATATTATATTCTAGAGACATTCGTGCAAGTTTCTTCATAGAGAAAATGCTTGCTAATGCTTTTCATTCCTCCAGCAGTAGAACCTTGACAATCAGACGCAATACTGTCTGCAGAAATCTGAAAGAATATCTTTTGTGAGAAAACTTGCAGAAGTCCCTGGCTAATACCACGTCGGATATTATATTATATTCTAGAGACATTCGTGCAAGTTTCTTCATAGAGAAAATGCTTGCTAATGCTTTTCATTCCTCCAGCAGTAGAACCTTGACCATCAGGCGCAATACTGTCTGCAGAAATCTGAAAGAATATCTTTTGTGAGGAAACTTGCAGAAATGTCTGTCGAATATAATCCAATTCCCTCGTGGTATTGGCCAGGAAGGAGTTGCTTTTCGGTAGGCATTTACCAAATTCTAAATTTTGAAAATCTTAATGACTGGCGTGAAAACAATGAATCGTACGAAGGCTACGAAATAAAATTCATCAGAAAAAATTTACTGAAATTAATTTTTAGAAGAGGCATTCATTCCATATATGATTTCTATTTTGAACTGTAGCCCCTCAATTTTATCTCCGCATACATTTGACCTTATATCAAACTAAAATAGTCGAACTCGGTAAACTTGAGAGTTGAACAAACCAACAAAGGAAGCAGAATAATATTCGAGCAAACTATGTTGGGTTGTTTTGAATGAACCTAGTTGGCTTTTGTTGGTATTTGACTTCGGAACTTGAATCCAACATAATTAATAATTAATTCCGGATTCATACAAATTCTTTGAAATTGAATTTCAGATATGTTTGGTTCAGTTTGTTTACATGTTTTCATCATGCATTCCGAATAATGGTATACTTCTATCTCGATGCACTCCATACTCTGCTGAGATCTCGTACATTTCAGTTTTACGAATTTAAAATATGATGTTTTTAGATATGATTTTTTTCTATCTATCAACTATTGCATTTTAAAATATTAATTTGTGATTCAATTTATTGAAGTGATAACTTATGATTTGAGGGTAAACCGCTTCGTTACCTGACGCATAATGGCGCCAGTTTGTCTGGCTTCCCTTTCTCTTACGCATACGTCAGCGGAAGGCAGGCTCCTCCTCTCTCGTCGGACAGATGATTAGTATTTAGTGTGCGTAAGACATTTACAGTTGACAGTATTATGAAAATATAACCAGCAAGAACGCAATATCCTTTTATTAAATGAAACGTGGCTTGAAAATGATGATACTAATTTTCTGTATGTATATCATTATTTAATCCTACAAAAGTAACAATTGGTTTATAGTATTTATAAAAGATTTTATTAATAAATAACCTTTCCTTAGACTATCATATTAGTACACATCAAATTTAAGTGATAACCTAAGCTATTCTCAAGACATACAATTAATTAGTACACATCAAATTTGAGTGATAACCTAAGCTATTCTCAAGTCAAACAATTTCAGTATTAAATAGTTCAAGTTGAATTAATCTAAGTTATCACTTCTGTCGAGCTTCCGGAGACGCACATGTTTTTTTTATTGTACAAATTATATTTCTCGCAAATTATTGGTTCAACGTTTTTTGTTTTTTTCAAAAATATGATAAACCCTTATTTTGAGAGAATAGTTTCATGAGTAATTATAACAGTTCAACATTTTCATTTCTTGCATGAATCCCTGTTTGGAAATGTTTCGTTCTAATAAATTATATGCAATCTTCTAACTTCATATCACCGCTAATAATAAACGACATTGTCCTTAGAATGTGATATACCGTATGATTTATTTGTGTTTGTTGAACACTTTCATTTTATTGACTATAATTACTTAAAGATATTTAAAATCATTCATGAGCTATTATTATTATAAAAAAACACATTCAAAATCTGAGGTAGTTCATAATAGAAGCATTTTTGTGACCTTGCACAAGATTATGTTTGCATATTTGAGATAAAATTATTCATTTGTCGGGAAAAAATATTTATCAATCTACATAGCATTAAATATTGTGACATGATTTTCAACGTACAGATATGAAAAATACAGTGTTGTCACCTTCAGAATTGCCGATGAATGGCCTGAGACAAACTTAGTTTTTTTTCAAGCTCAACGTGAATCATAAGTACTTTTGGATATCAAGTAATACATGCCGTTTTTTTAGCTGATCCCACTATTTCTATCTCGGACACAGTAAGACCTACAAGGTAGGTTAAATTGAACAAAAGTTTTCTATCTCGGTAAACTAGAATAATCTCGTTTCAGATGGAGAGTATCAGTGGTTGTTTTTGAAATATGGTCATTAACTTAGCCATTTTCTTAAAATATAACAGCTTTTTTTTATATATTTGGTCCATGATTTCAGATTTTCGGCAGGGTCTGTTCCATAGTTTTTCAAACGAAAAAGTTCAAATTTTTGAAAGTCATAGTTTCGTAAATATCTGGAATATTTATGGTCCAAACGTTTTCAGTGGCAACTGGCAAACAAATTTGAAGCTGCGACATTTAACAGTAGAATAACTTTATTATCACATGTTTTATTAAGGGTCACCCCATATATATATTGATGAAAAGTTGACCGTGTTCACATGAAAAAGTCAGTTTCTGGCATTTCATTATTGACTACACTGATATTTGACACATAATATTAGAAAGAAGACGCGTAGTAATTAACAGAGTTAGACAAATTTATCAGTTTCGCGAATTGAAAAAATGAATGAAACCACAAGCTAGCTTGTGAATTGTTGCTTTCATCAAGGCCCAATTCATTTTACATATATTGTTTAGATATTCACTCGCCTGTAAAAATATCGAAAATTTAGATGCATGGAAAGTTCACAAATTCTATTTTCTGAAAAGATAAAATATTGATAAAAATATGATGACAATTTCAAATTCACAATTTAATTCATTTTTACTGAAACTTATCGCTGAGTAGGTAATGTTATAAATTGATTGATGCAGCATTGCGGATGTATATAACCTGCTAACAGATCCAATCGTTCTAGTTTACTCACCGATTTTCAAATTAGCATATCAACATTGTCAAAGGTGAATAAAATTCAGGTACTCAATTGAGTTAAGTACCTTTGTTATTACCTACAGTTGTATTTATTTATATAAGGGCTAACATTATTATTTATTTTCAGTTTTATTGTATTTGTTTGAAAATGTCCATATAGGACGAAACTGCAGTAACAATAGTTACAAATAAAAGTGGTATAAAATATAAAAAATTTCATTTCTCATTTTTCATAGTTAATGTTAACAACGATGAAGTTTGACTGCTATTCGTAGCTGATAAACTGTTCTTCTCGATATGAAAAATCGCCTAACTATATTGAGGGAAATGAGAATTTAGTTTCTCACCAATTAAGTACGTTAAAATTTTATTCAATTTCAATCTCAAAGAATATAAAAAATTTGTGATTCTTCACAAAATATAGCAATCTGCTCTTATATTAATGAAAATACCGACCGAATCGATTCGATTTTTTTTCAAGACGATCGATTGCCCACACTTCAGAA